ACAACTTTAACAACTCTGTCAACTTCGTCAACTTTGTCAACTATGTCGATCATTTTGATCACATGACTTATCCGTAGTGTAGTCACGGATCACGGTTTCACAGTCTAAATACTGAAGTACGCTGTTCATTTTCATAATTTATGCTTCATGTTACTGCGTTTGAACATCCGTACTTAATGAACAAGTATTCTTCAAAGGCTTATTTCATTTAATCAAACTGTTATGAATTAAAATACGCATTACATTAAAAAAAGCTCATTAGTTCCATGAATATACATTGATAAAATTATAAATTAGTATTTCATACTTTTATTATTTTTCAGTTAACTTATTTTTATTTAAACATTTGTCGTTCAAGTAATGCAATTCTTTTGAGCGCCATTGTATATACAGCCAACGAGGTTGGAAACAATCCTTAACCGTTTTTCTCTGACGAAACTATAAATTTATTTAGAACAACGAAAACTTTGTAACCATCTGAATCAAACCTTAATAGAGTTTGGTTTTTAAATTGTCATTAACTTTGGGCAAAATTAAGATAAATGATAGACTGTAAATGACAATAATTAATTTTGGGTAGAAATTAAGTTAAAACAAACAAATATTTATTAAATAAATACATACACTTAGAGTTATTTGCTAAAGCAATAAATTTTTGATGAAAGCTTTAATAGGATGTGTTATAGGTACTTGTTTCCAGGTCCTCGATTTGGAATGCTGGATTATGACGGAGGAGCGTCAAAATTTGGATTATTAAAAATTGGAACACTGGGAGATGTGTCTCTGTATTCAGGTGGAGCATCAAGATTTGGAACATTGTCACGATTTCTCTTTTCGGACGGATCATTTGCTAAACAGCAACAGCAGCATGGTAAGATCAAAAATGGGGGAATTATGGTAAAAAGTGTCCAAAATGAAGTAGGTGGTTCAACTGTAACTCGAAAAACCGTATTTCCAAGGTCATTTTCGAGAAAAATGTTATAATTATCCGACAAATCAAGACCGTAGATATCATATGTGGGAGAGCCAATCACTGGAACCGACCAGAAGATAACGAAATTGCTTGAAATGTCGTCATTCATGGAAAAGATGGCATGACCCTTCACACCACCAAGAAAATGACTTGTAACACTAGAAAATGCCTCTGCCTGACCATTTGCAAGAGGGTATATTTGTGGTTCACAGCTAATTTTGTATTTGTTATCATTTGATGTAATCCAACGACCACTTTCAAGACTGGCAACGACCATTTCCATATCATGACCGCTATTATTAATGAGAACAATTGTGGCGACGCGTGAATGATGTTTCGAAGCAAATTGGCGAGCTAGGAGGGGGCAACATTCTAGACTTGATCCGTTTTGACAATAAAATGTACCAATATCTTGTTCAAATAAAGGAGTATCCTGTCCATTGAAAGAATCAATATCTTGCTCAGTTAATAAACTGCCAACAACCTCTTGATCAGTTAAAGAAACAATCTCTTGTTTAGTTGAAGGAAAGGAATTAATAAGCGTTGATTGAATTATAAGAAAAAGAAAGATATTGATTGTGATGACTAACGACTTAGATGACATCATGTTTTAATATTGAAAATTACAAGTTATATTCTAACTAAACTTTTGAATTAGAAATGCACTTGCAAGGTCGTAAAAATTCGAAAATTAAAATCTTGCACTTTGAAACTTTATCCAGATTAAAAATTATTTTTTCATATTTAAATAAAAGGCGGCGAAGAAGAAAAGAAATGGTGTGTACAAAAATACCTTGTGATCTTAAATCATAATTTTGTGAAACCTATGAGGGAATTTAGCATTAGTAATCTGTAATTAATTAATTGTACTACGTTTAATCAGATCATTACCTGTTATCAGAAAGGCTCTGTGACAAAATAACTGCAATGATGGAAATGATATTCTAGAAATTCAAGACATCAAAAAATGATTTTTTGTTTACGATGACTTTCTATAGTTTTATTGTTTTCAAATATTGCCTAACTTTTCAAAATTCACGAGTTGGTTTTTATAATCAAAAATTTTATCCTAAATATTTACTTTAATTAACCTCATATTTTCATTTTCGTTTTTAATTCATCCATATTTGATATGTTAAAACAAATTTCTTCACCAAGTTTATTTCCAAAATGATGATAGTATTTTGTTTGATTTTATATTTAATGAGAAAAAACAGAAAGCATGATATTGCTTTAATAAAATAAAAAGCAGTAACAAATGGATGCGATGCGATGATTTAAAGTAAACGTAAAGATGCAATGAAATATAATAATTTATTTAAAAAAAAATAGAGATGAGACTTTTTTTTAAGAAAGAAAAAAAAATAAATAAGGAATGGCACATTAGGTTCGAGAAAATATCATTCAAATATCGCATGTAAACTACACATTATAAAATTATTTAGCAATTATGATAAAATTAATAACGGTATTCGATCTACCTTTACTAGGTCAACAATTCGCTATTATTTTGAAAGCTGGATTCACGCACTCTAATTGTTCATTACAAAATTGTTATCATTCATCAAAACGCATAATTTACCTGGTGACATTTATTATAAAAATGCTGGTTTCGCCCAAAAGAAAAAAGCAGGTTGATTAAGATTTAAGATAACATTTAGTTCCATTTCCGCTATATAGCATAAATCACTTACAAACGATGACATTAAGTGCTTGCATTTCGAATAATATCATCATCATCCTCAATTTATGGCTCTTTCGCAAATAGATGTGATTCATTGGATGAAAATTTGGTATTGGAAAATAATTTATGAAGATTAATTTTAAGAAAGGTATTTGAACGAAAGCTTTAAAGAATTGTCGATAGCTTCTATAGCTGCTGTTTCTCTCATCATGAAGTAATAATAATTTTAAACAACATAAATTATCGTGTAAATGAAAATATTGAATGTACAATTGAATAATGAAATGTCTAGTTCTATACGCGAATAATATTAAAAATATTATACAAATATTTTGTTCCGGTTAATTAACTTTAAAAAATTTTTATTTTATTACTTTTGATACTTTTAGAAACTATCAAAACTGAAACGCCATGATATAAACTAACAAAAAAGGTGAAATTTTACAAAAAAAAAAAAAATGTCTTGAAAAAATAAGCTTTTAAAACTAAAGTATGAAAAAAAATCACACAAATAATTTTGATGATAAATAAATGATTGACGAAAATTAAATAATTTTAGCAGCTAGATTGCTAAAGTTAGATTAAAAAGAAATAAGTGGATAGTTGTTAATGCATTGAGATTTAAAGATTGGAGATGATATCTATATAGAGGTTAAGTAAAGTTGGTAAGAAACTGAGTAGGGTTAATTAACCATTTATTATAGTTGAGAAAAGTTGAGATGATAAACAAGTTATTTTAGCGAGTTCTGTTAATCTTCGATATCATTGCAACCCACCTAAAGTCCTTAGTATGTCGTCCTTATTTAGCACCATGGATTATTAATTCAAGATTTCTGACCCTTTCTTCTAATTCATTAATAATTTCTCGCTTTTCTTTGGATACTTCTTCTCGTTCACTAATCTTTTCTTCTAAATTATTAATTGTTTCATGCTTAATTTCGGCTTCTTCTTGTTTTCTAATCTTTTCTTCTAAATTATTAATAGTTTCATGCTTGATTTCGGCTTCTTCTCGTTTTCTAATCTTTTCTTCTAAATTTTTGGATTGTAAAAGTAACCCTTTGTTACTCTGGTCTAATTCATTAACTCTAGCTTCCAAGACTTTTAGGGTTTTTTCTATGTTAACCATTTCCAAATATTTATTTTTATAATTTATTCGGATGATTATTCCAGTAGAAGTTTCTGTAAAGAAACTTTTTTTTTTATTTTTCAGCCTTCGGTTTAAATTTTATCCCCACATAATGAACTTCCATAAATATTCTAGTCAACTCGGATAACTCAAAAAAGGATCTAACCGGTTCTTACATTGGATCGTCGGTGACATTTCTTGCCAAATAAAGTTATCTCAATAAAAGGCTATATGTCGATTAATAAAAACTGGGTAAGAAACCTTAAATATGTACGCACTTTAATTGATTCTTTATTAATTCATCGGTATTAAATGTGATTTTTTGTAAATATTTGGCAATAAAAAGTTTTTCAATATTCATGGACGTTTATATAAAAAAAATAAGGTAGTGCATTTAATTTAATGAATATTGTTAAAGTTGGAATGTAAACTTGATAAAAAAGACTGTTTTGAAACATGACACAATAAAGTTACAATGATTAATCAGTTTTGTTTTTTTAAAAAAAACTATAGTTGCTTGCTATTTTAGAACCAGATATTTTATTCTTTAACTATGCGTAAGATAAACGGTGATCATTTTTTAGTAAAATTACCAGTAATATTTCTTTATGAACCTTAAACTAAAATAATGTTAAATGAACCAATCGTTGATCAGCCTTGTTATGCTGCTTCGTGATGAAAAATTCTTTTTTATATGAAAATCCTCTTTGAAAAGCAGTTGAAGCTAACATAACCATATTAGGAGGTGGAATTAATACTTGTTATTCCATACGTAGTGAATAAGCGCATGTGATTTTAATATTAACTCTGAATAACCTAAGTAATTCGTAACGAAGTATGGAATAACAAGCTTATCTCATTGTGTATGACGTATACACCGGTAAAGTTACTTTTGTTTTATTTAATATTTAGTAAGCTCTATTGACATTTACTGTGATTACACTTGTGATTATACTTGCGAGTATATTGCAATTACACTTATATTATAAGTTTATTTTATTTTTTTAAGTGAAGTTTTAAAGTGAAGAGTTATATATTTACATAGGGATGGTTATTCTACAAACAAATAGTGAAATTATTATATCTGAGTAAATCTATGATAAATAAAATTATCTGTATTTTTAAAAAGTGGGGATGCGTAAATAATCCATTAAAAGGTATACAAGAAAAAAGAAAAATATTGGGCAGGCATGATTTAAATGCAATTTATTATTATAATTTTTCTTATACTTAATAACTCAAATATTATTTATTTTAAATAATGATATTTAGATTCTTAAAGTGTTAATTAAAGAAAAAAAAGATTGATTTCTTGATGAATTGATGATAGAAATGAAAATCAAAATGGAAAAAAATTGTAATACCTACTACAAAGGGTCGCCAAAGTCTCTGAATGCTTTTTGGCTCAATAAATCATTTAAAATTTTTAAAATTTAATTAAAAAATTTATTTAAAATTTATTAAAAATGACATAAAATAAATTTCGTACTAATTAATTAGTATTTAGTCAGACCTCCATTTGCTTCAATTACAGCTTGAATTTATTATAGCATATTATTAACCAAATTTTCAATAATATATATGAAAATTTCTCTCCATGGCTTTTTAATATGCCACTTTAGTTCAACAATATTAGAAGGCATTTTTCCTTTCACAGATACTTTTCTTAACATCAGCTCACAGATTTTTGATCAGGTTAATATCTAAACTTGAGCAGGCCATAAAAAAATATTCATATCATTTTTTGCATAAAAATTCTTCACCTGCTTCATTTTGTGAGGCCAAGCATTATCCTCCTGAAAACTATCATCACCATTTGGAAATACATTTTAAAGTACAATTCACATAAACAAGATTCAAAACGTCATATAACTGCAGAATTGCTAAATCATATGAAATTGCTAATATTCAATCACTACTATAAAGTGGTGTTTAGAACTTTTATTGACCCTCTGTATTTGAAAAGCATTAAATTACTTAGAAATTACAAGAAATTTTTTATGAATTTGTATTGTAAATTTATGGAAATTTTAACTAAGTATAAAAACTATTTTATTAGATTAAATTATAGCCAAAGAATAAAATAAAATATTAAGAAATACTTTTATGGTAAAATGTATAATAAATAATTACTAGAACAATTTATTTTTTTAGACAAAACTTTAAAAGACGAGAGATCTCTTTCAAGATTATACAAATATTTATTTAGAAATCAACTAGCAATTTAAAAAGTTATTTTATTAATAGGAATTAAATATACTATTCTTTCAGTACATTTATGATATTATTAAAATTAAAATTATAGAAAGTAGTTATAACAAACAATTATTTCAAGAATTTATTATTTTTCAATTGTAAGTAATTAAATAACATTTATATTTATATATACAGTAAATGTTAACAAAAAATTTTATTTATAAATTTCACAAATGTTGACTTTTCTACTAAAGAATAGTATACTTATTATAGATAATATTAAAATCTATCATAAAAAATAAATTATATAAATAGTTGAAGAATTCAATAGAAAAGTTTTATTTTTATTATCTAATTCTTCAGATTTTTATCCAATTAAGTTGATCTTTTTAGTGATTAAAAGTTAATTAAAAAAAATATAATAAATTTATTAAATTATTTAATAATCTGAAATATCTTTTATATTAACTTATGCATAAATAAATTTACAAATAGCTAAATCATTTTATGCTAAATCAATTTATTTGTAAAATAAAAATTTTATTGAATAAAAAATTTAGAGTTTAATGATAAAATCAAAATTTATTTACATATTTATTAAAAATACATTAAATTATTCAAAAAAATTATCCTATATTATTATTATAATTCAAAAAAAAATCTTTATAAAATTATTAGATTATTATAAATTAAAAAAATTATTCTGTATAATATTTAGCTACTTAAACTAAGATTTTTTTCTCAATAATACTAATTTCAAACTAATTATATCATCATTATTTAATGTAAGAATTATATTAACAGTAATTTTCTCTTTTACAAATTTCTTTAAATGTTTTGTATAATTCCTTTCTCCATGATTATGATTTAAATCATTCAAAAAAGTTTTAATAGAAGGTGATAATAATGAATAATATATATTATATTGTGATAGATTATAATAATAATTTATATATATATTAAGAGAAGATAATAATAGTAATAATAGTAATTATAATACAGTCAACTCTTGTTATAGCGAACTCTTGATATAACGAATTTTTTGAACAAATATAATAAAAATACTCTTGTTATAGCGAATTGGCCAATCAAATCTCTTAAAATCTTCACTATAGCCTTATAGCGAAGTTGAGGTCTAGGATATAGAGTTCGTTATAATAAGAGTTGACTGTAGTAGTAATTGCATTTGTTGTATTTATTACAATGAAGAAAGTTAATAAAGATAATTAAACTATATATAAAAATATTCTAAAAAATAGTAAATATTAAATAAAAGGTGAATGAAATTGCAAATTAATTTCTATAGTAGTAATAGTAATATTTTTCTTAATTTTAGAAATAAACAATAATAATATAGATATATGCTTAATTATAAAAATACTAGCAATTTATATAATTAAAATTAGATCTTATATTATATTTAATTTTAATTTTTTAGTTGAAATGAAGTAAGAAAAATTTTGAGTATATGATTTTAATATTAGTTTTTTAAAATAACTTAATAAATCTAATATATTATTCACAAAAAATTAAATGAGGTAATTTTAATATGAATAAATTTAGTATAAAATATTCATTGTTATTATACATTAAAATAATTCTTTATAAATTTAGCTTTTTATAATTTATGCTATTGATTTAAATAAAAGATATTTCAGTTTTTTATTTTTTTTAAATAAATATTATATATTATATATGTCTAATGATGTCAAATAGACATTCAATTAGATGCTAATCATCCTTCCTACAGTTGTCTAATTGAAAACTGGTTAACAAATATTAAGATTAATTTACAAATGCTGATTATGGTTGATTTATGGTGGCAATCAAACATAAATTACCTTATTACCAGACTACCATAAGGTTATTCACTTGTAAACAGTCGTGTGTAACTACCAGGTACTAATAAATCAAATCTATTATAATCTGCATCAATTCAATTTGAATTGGATAATTAAATAGTATTAAATCAGAGGATTGAAAATAACTATATACCGCAAAATAAGAATACAATCTGTTTATGAAATAATTTAAGCTTTATTTAAAATAAAATCAAATCAGGTTATTACTAACATTGCTAGAAAGCATATATTTTCAAATTAATATCTTCTGTTACCAACTAACAAATAAACATAAATGAAATATATAAATTAAAGAAAAAAATTAAATCTAATATTTTAAGAACTATATTGTACTCTTTTTTTTCATTTATATCGTAGTTTTTTATTAGAATAATCTAAAATTTGTGAGTTTTCAAAGATTACTTTGAGACTTTTGTCGAACATTTTCTCTTTATCTATTAATACTTGGCATAACTGATGCATTCGAAAGAAAATCAGATGATCTATTCCTATATACATCTTCAATTATATCATTTAGAGAACCTTGATAATCCTTAAGCGTCCATTTTAGAGTATGGAAAGGTGCCGATGATTCCTTATCATAGAAGTTAATAGTATTATAAATCTGGGTCTGTTTTTTGGGATTTTAGAAGTTTCTGTAAATAAGCGATCAATAAATTTCCTTAAAATAGTTGAAGCTATAGCAATATATTTTATTAGTAATGCTGATTAATATTAAAAAATCAATTTTTCAATGACCTTACAGCAGATGAGCGCTACTTCAGACTTTAAATAATAATATTACATTTTCTATTGAAATTGTCTGTATCTGTCTCAGAAACATCTGGTGAATGAAATGCTGAATTTTCTTTAATCAATCAAAGTTCATATTCTTTAAACTTTTGAATCAATGAATCATTAGCCTTTTGTAATTTTTCTATCATTCTGGCTCGCGTCAATATTTTCTACAATTAAAAAAATAGTTATAATTTAAAGAGATCAAATATATTATTAGTTCATTACCTACATTATTTCTTTGACAATTCAAGTGTTTTAACCAAGCCTAATTATCTTAGTAATTTATTATTTATTCTCTTTTTAGATGTTCTTCATGCTGATTCTTATGCTGAGTGTAAATCATATTGTATATGATAGACTCTGTAACTGGGTAAGTATCTGAATCTAATGATGATATTACAGTTGAGACTATTATATCACTTACAAGATTACATTGAGCCTCAAATGTATTATTTAAATTCAATCAGTTTTCAGCTAGTATTCTTTAATTATCCAAAATACTTCTCTCTGAAATATATTAATTTATATTAGTAAAATATAAAATTTATAAACTACAGTATATTAAACTAAATTTTACTTACCCTTAAAGCTTCTCTAAGATGTCTAGACATATCTGTTATATCTATGTATTTTAGTATTCTCTAATGTATTGGTCATCAATTAGATAAATTTTATTGAAAATAGTTTGACTCGTTGCTTTCAGAATCAGAGGATCTTAATCTGAGCTAGCGGTCGTTGCTTTTAGAATCAGGATCCTGATCTAAGCTGGTAGTTATTGCTTTCAAAACCAGATGATACTGATCTAAGCCAGTGGTAATTTTTATGACTAATTTTATTTGGTTAACCAGTTTTGTTTTTTCTATGATCTTCAGCTGCAACATAATCATATGATACATCCTTAGTATTTTTTTTTCTTTGACGCTTTTTGAACTAGCAGATTTTTGGGTCTTTGCTGATTATTGAGTCGTAATAAATATTTTATTATCCATTTGTAGATCTTCCTATTTCATAAGATCAATATCTCTTTGTTTATCTTGTTTAATTTGGTTAATAATCATCCCTACTAATGCAACTATTATCAATAATAAAATTTGATAATGTATCATAGTATAAATAAATTGCCAATATATATAAACTACCTGAATTTTCTTTATCATGTTGATTGGATTTTCTTTATAATAGATTATATTTCTTTGATTTTCAGATGATGATTTATGTAAATTATCAGATTAAAATTCATGTGATGATACAAATGATTATATTTACTTTAATCATATTATTAGTATGCGAAATTAGTAAGATAAAAAATGTAAGTATGACATTTCTTACCAGTCCTTATCATTATTTTTTTTAATGATATTTATTCTTAGGAGAGATTGAACGTAAACAATATATAACTTTCCTTTTTTGTTCACAATTTCTTAAATGACTCCTATTTCTTGAACAACTCCTATTTCTGTTGTAACTAGAATATTTTTTACTATAATGAGCCATTTTGGTTAGCAGGTGAAAATAGATATGAGTATATTTAGCAAAGAAAAAAAAATCAGAAGGCAACTTGTTGGATGAAAGGAAGTATGAATATATTTAGCAAAGAAAAAAAATCCATAGGTTCTTATATAGTTTATCAAATTAAGCCACAATATCACATGATCTAAATCTGTTAGAGTTAAATAAGTGATAAAATATTTATGTGAATTTCAATCGCTACTGCGTCTCAAGTTAGTTGTTCTAACCTTTCAATCTCAATTGATTCAATGGAATAATCTCAACATCATTATAAAAAAAGTACTTCACATGATTTTCTGACTAAAATTATATATTATCATGTAAAACATTGCCATAATGCTGTTAAAACCGGCAGAAACTGACAGAACAGACAAATCTGCTAAATCTGCCATATCTGTCAAAAAGCACATACTTAATATTTATTATATTTTTATTATTTGTATCATTATTATCATTTATAACATATTTTACATAATTAGCATA